ACTAAGATTTTACCAGAAGTAAGTTTTATTATGTGTTTGTGTTGGTTACAACAATAGCAACTTTTTGTCTGTTACGTGAATTTGCTGTAAATGAAGCATATAAATGTATGGGAGACTCAAAATCAAACATTTATGCGTAAAGAATATTTGATGTAATTACATAAACCAATAAATTATCTGTGTCAATTCTGAAGTAAATTATATTCTTGTGTATAACTAGATGCATTTCATTTGTCGTTACTGCTAGAAATACTGAAAGGATGGTAAAACATTACGCTGTAACTATGGAAATTTATTTATTTTGTGAGCACAAAATAAAATATTTATCTGGAAATTATCTGGAAAGAACAAAAACAAAAGTTTATGTATGTTTTGTGAACAATAAATGTTGAATAAATAAATTATTTTAGGGTAAATTAAAAACATTATAAAATATCATTGTAATCAGTTTAACAATTTTTAAATCAATTTGCACTAATGTAATCAGTTTAACAATTTTTAAATCAATTTCCACTATCTATTTCTTGTATGTCTTCTTCATCTGTGTCCATTAAGTAATCCTTTGCTTTAATGCTTACTTTTAAATTTTTGTATTCTGCAGCAAACCTTGAAGGAATTATGTTTTTATTGACTAGACTCGTTAAATCCTTGTATTTTTTGGCAGATATTCCTAATGCTGTAGGGTATAACATATCCTTCAAACAATTTGTNCTAATGCTGTAGGGTATAACATATCCTTCAAACAATTTGTATTTTTTAATGGACTCAAAGGAATTGTTATGGTTTCTGCGTCAGGTAACATTGAATTTTTAATATACATCAAGTTGGGTTCTTGATTCTTGAAGGTAGCAATACTTAGTTTTGAAATTGATAGCTTTTGTTTTTTATTAAATGTAGAGTTAACAAGATCGTCAAAACCAATGAAATCTTTTCCATTGAGTACTTCAACTTTGTATGGCTCTGGATCCAGACGTGCCAATTCCATTATAGTAGGCCATTGTGATGGTGCCCAAACGATACACTTTCTTATTTTAGTCTCAATGGTAGCGTGAACACTATCCACTGGCATATAGGTATGGCCTATAAGAAATTGACAGTTTACCTGTATGTGATGTTTCGTTCGTGGGTCTGAGTAAGACAGAGACCGTCTCATCTTCGGCTATACTAATTATATCATCACCACCTTCAATATAACATTGTTTTACAATTTCATGGTGGTCTTTACTAGCCTCATTTTCTGATCTAGGCTCGTTGTGTATTTGTCTAGAGTCTAAGTCTAGAGAAAATTTCCCTTCACCATTATTATCTTCATGATTCTGTTCATTCAACGCTAATGTAATGTTATTTAAATTACTAAAATTATGTTTAATTTCCTCATTTTCTTCAGAATCGTACGGAGGAATAATTTTAAAGGCTTCTTTTATATGCGTCTTGGATGGTGTAGGGAATAATTTTACTGGTGTAATAATTTTCATCACTTCTTTAGTTTCTGCTAAAAAACAGTCGGGTTTTCTGAATGTTGGAGTTAAATTTTCTACATCTAATCTACGTGATAACTGTCGGGGAGTCATTTCAATATTCTCATTGTCCTGTTTTTGTGTATCAGTATCATTGTTAGTGGGGACCACATCATTGTTCATAAATTGAAATTTTTCTTCAACATGAGACATTTCAGGAGTACAAATTTCTGACCTGAGTGTACTTGTGCATTCTTGTATGGTATTATTTTTATTAATCGTATTTGTTTGCGTGGATGTCTTTTTAGTCTCAATCCACAGATTCGGTAGAATCTGGCGCCAAGTTCCGTTAAAAAATCCCGTTACTAGACACAAGAGTCAATTTACCATTTTCATTTTTATAGGTTTCATCTTTTAAAATGTTTATTTTTCCTCTTTTTTTGCCAACAGTAACATCCGGTTTTAGCGATTCTTTCCAATCAAGACGGCGTTTAGACATCTGAAATCAATTAATGTTTATAGTTATACGAACTTACTTTGCAGTAGGTAGGAAACTAACTAACATAACATTTTTAAATTATATAATAACAAGAACAATACTTATCTTTTAAAGTCACTCCAATTCCGCGAAGACACACAGTAACAGCAAATACGTCATACCTTCCTGGGTGCCACGAAGCGACTGAGCGACGCGGTAAGCCGCGACCAAGTGAGCGCGAGCGCGCGTATTTAATGGCGGTAAACGCACATAATCAACACAGTAATATTGTATTAAAAATGGCATAGATAACAGGAATCTAAAAACTTTTATGTGTTTATGTTGCCGTAATTAGCGATTGTCTACAATATCATAGTTGTTATTCTTGTAGTACANTAGATAAAGTTTAAACAAAAGGATTTTATTATCATAGACATGAATACAAAAAAGTTAAATTAGATAAAGTTTAAACAAAAGGATTTTATTATCATAGACATGAATACAAAAAAGATGGCGCGTAACGGAAAAATGTGACGCGTAACCGAAAAATGTGACGGTAAATTTTTTTCCAACGCCGATAAAGAAGTTTCACTTCAAAAATATGAATAATCGCAAGGGTCAACTACCAACTACTCCGCAGTCCGAAGTGCAATAGAACAGCCTCACCCTGGGGGAACCGCCTGCATGATCACGGTGTCTCTATGCCAGGTAAGTATGAATTAATTTTTTTTTTCCTACCAAAGCTGATAGCCTTGAGAGGCTATATCAGCGTCACCTTAACTAGTAGGTGAGCTCACGGGGCTCAAATCTGATGACGTTGCTAACACGAACCCTAGCAAGAGCCGTGCTTCGCAGAATCTACCGCCGAATCGGAAACGCGACCCACTGAGAGGATCCGGCGAGAAACTCAGTGGGCTGTGTCTGAGGGTTAATTTACTCGTCTAGCCCTTCGTCGCAAGCGACGGGTTCGACGAGAACGGTAGAACAGCGACCGGTGCTTGAGGTACCTAAAAGCACCGTTAGTGGATCGGAAGGATCCGAAATGACGTGTTTGGGGCGACGTCGACTGCTTTCCATTCTGTCCGCAGGATCGGGAATGTTTTTTTAATTTTTTTTATTGCCCTTGTAGGCAGACGAGCATACGGCCCACCTGATGGTGAGTGGTTACCGTCGCCCATGGACTTCAGCAATGCCAGGGGCAGAGCCAAGCCACTGCCTACCGCTTAATACTCTCCACAAGCCTCGTTTGAAGAAGGACATGTCATAGCGCTCGGAAAACACCGTGGAGGGGAGCTCATTCCATAGCCAGATGGTACGTGGCAACACCAATCGAACAATTCCTCAGAGCACTCCCCATGGAACATACGGTACAAAATACAGAGGGAACCGAAGTCCCTCCGCAGACCCAGAGGCTCCAAACGATCCGTGTTTTTGTAGTTACCGTAATGTAGTTACCGGCGGCTACGATAAGAGGGTTCTCGTGTCGTGCCGCTTTATCGAAGTGGCGCATCGACGCCGACTGAAGATCCTGACTGATGGACTCTAAGCCCAGGTCATCATGGAGGTCGACGTTCCTGACGAACCACGGAGCTCCGACGGCTATCCTGCAAAAACGAGATTGAATAACTTGGAATGATTTTAAGTTAGTGCGGGCCGCGTGAGCGAACACTACGCTTGCATAGGTCATGACGGGGCGTATGCAAGTTTTGTAGAGTGTCATCTTATTTCTAAGGGACAATTTACTTCGCCTGCATATCATCGGGTAGAGACGTCCTAGTTTGAAGGCGGCACGGTCGCGTACCGTCTTTATGTGGGGGCGGAATGTCATCCCTCTGTCGAGGATCACGCCTAAGTATTTGACGTTCGGGGCCCACGGTATGGGTTGGTCGTACATGATGATTGGGCGAATGGCGGAGGTGTTGGTTGACGCGCCTAGTCGGGAGTGGAATGCTCAAAGTGGTATTCGGAGGGCGACCCCTTTTAAAGAGCACCGCTGTGTTTTTCGTGGAGTTGATGTCGATGCGCCACTTCCAGAACCACTATCCCATGGTGGTAGCTGCGGTCTGGAGTCGCCGATGTAACAACGACTTCGTCCTACACGAGTAGTAGATAGTGATAGCCGTGTCATCGGCGAAGAGCGCCAGATGGGTCACCGTAGACCGGGGTATATCGTTGATATACAAACTGAACAGTAACGGGGAGAGGGCGGAGCCTTGCGTGACTCCGGCTGTAACGTGACGGGGGCGAGAGAGTCTACAGTCTACACGATACCGGAACGAACTAGAGATGTAAACCGGTTCGAAGAAAACCGGAGAAAAACCGGTTTTTATACATACCGAGAAATACCGGTTTTTATTTAAGAATACCGGTTTTTTACGCTTTACATTCACAGTTCACACCAATGCTACCAGATCAAATATACAAGCTTCAAATATATAAAAAACCGTGTTTCAGAACCAAATTACCGTGCATTACATTTAAAAACTACAGTGCAATAACCACAATATGGTTGGTAGACTTTTAGCGTACGAAATGAGGACCGTGACCCAAATATCCACATATCTGCACCCAACACTCAGAATGGCTTTCGCCAACCAGAGCACATGTTGTCTGCAAAAAAGATGGTGCATCGTGAACTGGGGAATCTTCTTGAAGAATTTTCAACTCTCGCTTTGTCATCGCAACAGCCAGAAAAAACCACAAACAATTTTAAAAAGCCTGGTATTCTGGATTTTTTGCATTCGCGAAAACGGGATATTCCGAACGCCACGGCGGCCGCAGTGAATATAGTGCGAATGTATATTGAGACTGAAGCCGCCACAGTAAACCACACCGAAATTGCTGGCACGGGCTAACATCCAGAAGGAGCAGGCTTCTGAATGACGCAGTGGACCAACTATGCCTCTTGCATCAAAATTTTGATTTAATACAATAGTATTAAATCAAAAATAAAAAGCTTTTTATTATTGGATAATATATATTATGATCATTAAAAGCCTATATAAAATATGCTCACCCAATTAATTGTATAAAGAAAACTCTTCGTTTGTACGTAAATTTGTTTTATTTAGTGATTATTTAGCCTTTATGGAAAAAACCTAAAAATACCTAAAAAAACCGGTTTTTTGAGAAAAAAACCGGTAATAAACCGGAGCCAGAAATTGTAATCGGTTCACATCGCTAGAACGAACTGTTCGACAAGTAGTCTCGCTCGTATGATGGGTTTTTTAACCACCAAATTCACTAGAATCAGTGACTGGTAGTCCGGCAAAAATGCTAGTGTTAAGTGGTTACCGTCATAACCCATAGACAGTATTTGAAAAAGATATACGAGAACGTCTATCAACTGTGTAACATCTCGTCATCGAGATTTAGAAATTGTTGAATTTATGTGCAGCGACATCTGTTGATAGCAAACTAAATAGAAATTGTAAATCATCTTTTATAGTATGAGGTAGCGCCCTCTGTGAATTGATATTTTAACTTCACGTTTCATTTTTTCGCTTCATCGAGTTTGAAATCACACCCAACGACTCTAAAGAAGTTTCACTTCAAAAAAAAATTATACAAATTTCTGGCGGTAGTTAGGAATTTTGATATTGACCACAATATTTATGAAAAATTGTTTTCGTGTATACCTCATGTATCTACAATTGTAATTAAATACATACCTAAGGGTATCAAATTACTCTAAATAGAACGAACAAGATTAACTGAATTGTCATTAATCATGATAATAATTATGTGTTCAAACCATCAAACACAATTAACACTAACTACTCGTAGTAATAGATGCCTCAAACAACATGGCGATATTCGTGTGGTGTCTTTGAGCATTATTCTGAACTGAATATGAATGCGATATTTCACTATTGTAAAAATACTTTGCATATAAACCATAATAACATATAAAACATAATGACATTAAGACATTTACAAAGCACAATTTAAAGTCACTACAGTTCCATTCTAAGATCTTGATTTCAATTATCTAACACATAAATTAGCGATCAATATTTAAATTAATGATTTTATGTTGCGCGAAAATGATGATGCGAAAGCCCTTAGTCCGCACTTAGGGCACCACCGGTCATCGACTCCGCATTCCGCGAATATCTAAACCCGGTTTTCTCCTGCATCCCAGTGCTGAGGTTAGAACGGAATTGTCCTTAAATGCGGAGTATAACGTTCTGGCAGCCTTCCGTCTTATAGGACAATGCGAATTGTGAATCTTGCCTTTATTCCATCAGATCTATATGTCATATGTCTTGTCCCAGCTTTGTTATTATTTAATGTAAATACATCATCAAAATCTTCGTAATGCGATTATCAAACTTTAAAAGCAAAACAATGAAAATACTAGAGGTCCCGCAGTAGTCGAAATTCGACTATAATTAATTGGAATTATTATTGTAAGTTTGTACACTTTTATGATTGTATTTTCAACGCCAAGACTACACTATAGAAAAATATTAATAAAGACAAACAACACCTATTTAATCTATTCTCAATTTGACCACAGACGTCAAAAACAAAAGTTTGACAATAAATAAATAGTATGCACGCGTGTGTGTCAAATACATGGTAGTGTGTGTAATGTTTTCTTTATTGATTTAATGTATCTTTTATGCATTATTTTATAAAAATATTAGTATTTTGCACTTCTCTATATTCTTTATAAGTGTGGAAAGGACAATGACCACATATATATGTATGGCATTCCGTCTTAAGTTGTTGCACAATAAATCTCTATTTATTATTAAACCCCTAAAGCGTAGTCTGCTTTCTATATTATCGAATAAAAGTGTTCGCTTCCCCATAAT